GTGTTTTCCAAGCCAAAAGCCCTTAAACAGGGATTAAACACTCTAAATCTTGTGTTTTGCTCCGTATTTTAGAGCAGGTGCGTTCGAAAAGAGAGTGTTTTGCGCCAAAAAGAGTCTTTTGGAAGATCTGGGAAGTCGTGCGTGCTATCGGTTGTCGGTTGCCTTTGCTGCCGGTAGCCATAGAGTCTTGCTGACAGAGACATGATTCAGCCATCCTGACAGAATGAAGGGTGCGCAGTTGTTCGGTCTTGTAAGGGCTGCTAGGGTTTCTCCTTGCAGTGTGTGTTCGGGCTGTCCAAAGTACTTTGTGACGAGCTCGGGTGTTTGAAGACCGGCGAGAACAAACGCGCGCTGCCGACGCTTGCAGCAAAAACAGGATTTTGGCGTGCCGTCTTGTGCGCAACTGTGTGAGCATGTCTGGTGCAGCCGCTGCAGCTGGCCTCTCTCGGTTGTGTGTTCTAGTCGTCGCGTCACAGCTGCGCAAGGTTGCCCATGAAGTTTCTCTTTTGCGCCATCTTCTGTGCGTGCGTTGGCGGGGCGCAGAGCACCCAGCTCCAAATCGTTGATAATCTACTGGCAACCGCCAGCGGTGCCGCCGGCTGAGTTACTTGCGTCTTGCATTCTGTCGGGTGATCGTATTGGGCCCGGTAGCGACGGCGATAGTGTGCACTTTTTCCCAGACACATTGCTCGACGTGAAGTCACAAGCTGCCCATCTCAAGGCTGAGATGTCCGGATTGCCAAACAGTCTAGTTGCAGACACATCGACATTGAACCGTGTGGCACATGCAGGCGCTCCTCCAGGAGATCCAGCCTTTGGTTCCACGCTTGCAAAGCGGTGGTGCCAAGTCAGAGGCCAGCGAGTCTGGGCATTTTGCCGGTGCCAGCGCTCCGTAGCCCGCTGCACAGTCAGATCTACGGTCAGACGTGACCGTAGGTAGGAAGCTGTGCGTCTGTTCTAGATGTGGCAGTTTTATAGGGATGACGTCGACAGCGGCAGGAAGCGATAATTCGCCTCCTGGCTCTGATAGCGCAGCCGAACGCGAAGTTGATCATGAAGCTGCTTCGACCGCAAGTGTGCAGGCCATGGCGCAGAATGGGGCCGGGTAGGGCAGCGTAGTGCTGTGTGTCGGATGGCCCGGGCCCAGGCCCCAGGCATTCCGATAGTGACGATAGTGTTTAATATACTAGGTACTATGTTTTGGATTGTGTGTTCGACTTGCTGCAAGAAGTCCACTTGAGTAGGGCACTCCTGTCAGTGTTCAGTGTTTGTGCGTCGCCAGGAGCGTCTGTGCAGGTGCATGCATGGAGGGTGGGTCGCTTACGGGCGAGAGAACTACAAACGTCGGCCCCGTCAGGGTGGACGTGGTTGTAGACTGGCCACGCGGTCGACCATACCTATCATTGTGCAAGGCGTTCTTTTGTTGCGGGAACTGGCTTGCTAGGGCGCCATCTTGTTCATTGTTTTTCTTGTCGAGATTCCTGCTAAGGTTCTCAGGCGTGCAAATGCAAGCACTGACGCTGATGAAACGACCGACCACATCGCCCCGTTTGCAGCGATTGGTCTCCTGGCGCAAATGTTGCTAATGTTGTCGAAGCTTCGTGCAACGAGAGAGGTCTGCAGGTTGGTTTGGTTTTGAGGCTTGGAAAGCTGAGGCTGGTTCTCTGGCGACGCAACTGACAGGCTATCCAGTGGCAGCTCGGTTGCAGGGTGTGTCTTCAGGATTCTGAGCAGCAGACTCTTCACGCAAGAGGGCTGCCGGTTCTGCGTCTTCCCAGAACTCTTCCTTTTCTTCTTTCTCTTCATCTTCCTCGTCGGCTGTTTGTTTGTTTTTTCAGCTGGACAGGCGTCATCTTTGTCAGACAAGGACACAACGCAGGGTTTAGCGACATTTAGGGTTCAGAAACATTGGAAGTGCCTGGACAGTCTTCCTTTGTTTGTTGACCAGGACACAGGCTCATACGGACGGGTGAACATTGTGCTTCCGCGGCCAAGCCGTTTGTACGCGCCTCTGCAAAGAGAGAACCGCGTGGCGTGTGGCCGTGCTCCCCGTGACGAGGTACCGTCCTGATCAGACTTTGATCAAGCTTGCTGCCGGTGTGGCACCTTCGCATGTGTGACGCAGAGGGCGCGTGTGCAAGCGACGTCAGCAGGGGCCCTGTGCAGACATCTCTGCCCGCGAATGACTGGCGAAGGCTGCTGGATTGTGCGTCGGAGTCCGATAGAGGGGTGGGGGGGGGGTGTTGTTGTTCCCTAATCTCGGGAACAACAACCCCCGCCTTCACCTTTCGAACCCCCCCTCAACCTCCTCCTCCTCCTGTTGTCGTCGTTGTTGTCGTTGTTGTTGTTGTAATTGTTGGCTGGCTGGCTGGCTGGCTGGCTGGCTGGCTGGGTTGATCGGTTGGCTGGTTGAACTTGGTTTGTTGACGTTGTTCCCACTCCCTCTTTGTTCGTGTCGGGTGTAGCGGTTCGGCTGGGTTTGGCGGTACACCCGTCTCTCACATGATGCAGTGCTGTACAGTTGCAGAGTTGCAGTTGTTGCCAGCAGTGTCTCTTTTGTAGGGCTGTAGGGTTTCAAAGTCCGGTGCTGGCGCAATTGCTGTGGCGTAGTTGTGTGCAGTGACATGTTCGAGCATGAACTCCGTGCGCGTCCGCAGTTTGCGTGCTCGAGCTTTAGCCTACGCAACGAGGGTCCCTGCCTTTCAAAACACCCGCCCTCCGCCCGAACTGGTGGGGTGGCAGATAAGGCCTTCTGCAAGTGCTCTGTCTACTAGGCGGAAGAGACCTAACCTGACCGCGGCCTGCCAGTTTCCTGTCAAAAGTGAAGGCGTGTGCGTGCCGACTGTAAGTTTGTAGAGTGTGCGGAGTGTTAAGCTCGATGTCAGGAGGTACTGCGGAGCATCTCACGTACACGTGCAGTACGATCACTTTCGGCTACGCATTCACCCTAGCTTGTTTGCTTAAGCAGGCTTGCCTGAGTTCACAGCTGCTATAGCAGCTAGCTGCTTGAAAATCGTCCGCCCGCCGCCCCAGATGGGGTAGGGTCGGGAGCATGCTTCACGCGTGCTGGGATGCTTGCGCGCGCATGCCACTCTACAAGCGCATGCAGCGAACACACGGGTGTTAAGTGAGCTTGTGTGCAGCCGCTGCTTGCACCTATTGCTGCACACAAACTTTCCCGCCCTCCCACCCCTTCTTACAACAGTGTCTCTATGTGGGCCTGGAGTGGGCTGTGCTTCGCGATTGCCCCTGGCACAGGCTGTGTTGGCAGTGGCTTGTGCCCGGTGTAGCCCCATGTGGCTTGCTGTAGGCCTCGAAAGGGGGATGAGCCAGCGGCAGGATTCCCTGCCGCCTGGCGGAGTGTGCATTGCGACCATTGAAAAGGAGTGCATGTGTTTGATCACCTTAACATAATGTGTGTTGTGAAGTATCTGCCCATGTGCAGTCGGGGGTGGGGTGCCAGATTGCAGGCAGTTGGGTCATCTACCTGCCTGCAGGACCATTAAGCGAAACTTTGCTGCCAAAAGGTGTCTGTCCGCATTCTGACCGCGTTAGACTAAAGTGATGGCTGCAAGTGTGTAGGCCGTGTCTGACGGCGTTGCGCATGTTTGCGACGCTGCACGAGTAGACCGAATAAAAACCTGACAAGGCAATCCGATTTGGTTGCAGGGCGCCACTAACGAGGCAATGCGCTTGCTGTTGTTGTTCCCAGCGCTCTGCGTGCATGCTGACCTACAAGCTCACAAGGCGCGTTTGATTCCAGGCTCACTGCTCAGATTAGCGAGAAGCGGCATGCATCCCACTCGTGGTTGAAGTTGAAGCCGTGCTTGCTGCTAGATTTTTTGGCTTCGGTGTTGTTCCGCGATGCCGGACCATCTCTGGACCAGGAGAAGACTGAGTCGGGTGTGTCGGTTCGCCGGCTTCATTGCATTACACTGATTGAATCTCTATAATAGCTTTTCGTACGGTACGTATCCATATTTCAACTTGTGAATATACTTTAATCGGAAATAAATAGTTATATATCTATACATGTATATATATATATATATATGCATAAATGGTGGGGTGCATGCGAACAGTGTATCGAAGTGGGATTCGGGAGCAAGCAATTGCATGCTTTATGTTGCTTGGGCAAATGTTGCTACGTGCGACTGTGTGCGGAGTGTGTGCGATGCCGGTGTAATCAGGTCCGTATTGATTATGATTATGAGCTGAAAATGTCTGTGTGTGCAGCCATGTATTCACTGCTGTTCGGATCAGTACAGGTATGTGTGCGGATGCGTTCGATCAGCTGCGGGACCCCTGGACCAGCTGACAAAAGCGTGACCGTGTTTGTGCCATGCCGCTGACAGCAAGCTCAGCAAACCAGTGGAGCATCAGCTCGCCCAGCACTCATCGGGCGGGCGGGCGAATCGGGAACAGATGCTGCCCTCCACCTACACAACAGGCAGCCCAGTCGATCGCTGCTTGGACAGCAGGAGTCACAGCAAGCACGCCGCCCACACGGAGAGGGAGAGTGGGGTACTGCCAAACCCAACCAACCGGTACCCTCGGCACTTCCCTTCCTGTGCAAGCGGCGACCCTAACCTCAGCAACTGTTACACACAGGCAACGGATATTTTTGCACCCTATCCAGCTGATGCTCTACAAGCTCAAGCCCAAGCACAGCCAGCGGCGCGAGCTTCCAGTTAGCTAGCTGCAGCAAAACGAATCCTTAGTTCTGTGCGACGCTGCGACTACACTACTGCGACTACACTACAGGGGTCGGAGCACTTGGGCTCCTCCGACTCCTCCCCCTCTGGTTTGAACTGCAGCATCCAGGTGCACGAATCTGTGCTGGAATTCTGGGTGGAGCCCTGGGTGGAGCACCCTGTCTTAGTCCGCTGGATCGGTATGCCTGCGTGCAGCGTCAGCTTGAGATTGAACCGTGTGCACACGAACACGAACTGCAGCCGTTTCATTGTGAATAGATTGCTATGTGGGCAGCGTACATGTGTGCGAGCTCATTGAAAATAGGCGTGCGGTGTGTGTGTGTGTGTGTGTGTCCGGTCAAGTGAGACAGCTGACAGTCTTGAGCAGTGCAAACAAGAGTCAGGGAGACCGGAGCGGTACTCAACAGATGTCAGCGGTGCCTTCGTATGTTTCGGGCAGGCTAGGTGAACAGTATTCGCTCTTGCGCTCCACCTCAGTCCTATCTTACCATCTGGTGCGGTGCATGTTGGCTCAATTCAAAAATGAGTCTGTGAACCTCAGAGTGTGAGGTGTGCCCAGGGTAGTTGGGCAGTTGGGCGTGTCTTTCATCCCACCTTGCTCTCCCTGTATCTACTCACTGGGTGAGTGACCTCCGCCTTCCTGACGGTTGTGGTAGAGGCACTGTGTTTGGAGTTCCGCCTGGTTGTGGTAGAGGCACTGTGTGCCGCTTTGGTGTGTGGGAGGTGTGTGTCCCATATGCCATGAGCGTCCGCTGAGTACAGCACGCCGCCAGGCAGCACTTGCGGTTTCAGGGATCACCAACACTATGGGCGAGGAGCTCATGAAACTTAGCTGCGAGCCCAAAGGAAACACTGACTGTGAGTGCGTAGATCGAGTTGCTGGTGTAGCACGGCGTGGTACCTGAAGGCGGCGCGACAATCACAACTGTGCGCGAGGATCAAGGGAATTACGCAAGCAGCTCCAAAGCGCAGATCGAGGCCTGCGCGCCTCGAGTCTGCCCATGAAACCCAGGCTAAAAGACCCGCCCATTTGAACTGCCCCAGCACATAGGATCCTTGTGGCCGAGAAGCAGGCCGACCACTCCTGAGCCGGAACATTCTAGCAAGAGCGATTCGCGGTGTCAGCTTGGTTAATGGAACGCAGTTTCCAACCTTCCCGCGCGTCCCACTGAACGGCCGACCGTGGCAATGTTAAGTCCGGCTCGATCAAGCTCTCGTCCAGCTCTTCCCAGGAAAAAAGCACTTCATGCACGGCGTGGCCGGTGGATTGCCCGAAACAATTGCGCCCGCGCAAGCAAGCCCACGCCCGGCCGCAGCTCGGACTCGGATCGACGCGCGTTTGCAAATTGCAAGTTTTCAACTCATTACGCGAGACGGCAACGCACGTAAGCCTCGTTGATCACTGCAGACCTGTGTGTCCGTTCAGTTGCCAGCCTTGACATTCGCAAATCGCTGGAACAGGGACATCCAATGCACTATGAGGGTTCCCGCGTGAACCGCGTGCGGCTGTGTGTGACCCTTGGCGTGCAGTGGAGTGAACGCACAGAACGTTTCAATTTTTGCTACGGCAAATGCTCCGTCCGTACCACACGTGGCATTTAGGGCAGGAGGCGGGGCCTGTGAGTTTTGCAGTTGACGTGTGCGTGAAACCCTGCTACCGGCTTGGGTTGGGCTTGGCAGTACACCCTTCTCTCTCCGGTGCATGGAGCTTGTGCGTTATATCGTATATAGCCTGTCCATGCAGTTCAGCATTCAGTTGCTCTATCGTGGGTGCTGGGCCACTGTTGAAGCTGGATTGAAGGCTTCTGCTGCCCAGCATTTTCGCAGCGCCTATAGGGATGTTGCGCAGTTATTAAACGTGACTGCGACTCTCTCTATCTCGCACGAGTGTCATCTGTATTATTCTGTGTGCACAGCTGTACTGCTGTCCGATCGTGTTTGTATGTTTCGAGTTGGGCTGTGTATTGACAGCTTGTGCAGCCTGTTGACTTCATTTTCATCGTCCCATCGTCCCAAAAACGCCGCTTGTGTGAAGTGAGTGCGAGATTGTAGAGGGCTTTGACTAGGTACATAAGGCCGTGAGAGTTGTGCAACGTTGAGCGTGTGGGTCCGTGCTCTGGGGAAGCTGCCCGTGGCCTGAGACGAAATATCTCACGCTCAAGCGCAGTATAACAATCACTGCGTGTAGGTGCCGGGTCCACCCTTGGTTTTTGTGTACGTGTGCAGACCTGTTTGAAGTCAGACTGCAGCGTCACATGTCACAACCCTGCTCGCTGCTTGAAATTTCCGCGGAGTGCGTGGTAGGGCGTGAAGTGGGATCCGTGAGTGTAGAGCGCCTTTGTGTTGTGGAGTGGGA